ACCAAAATAAGCCTGCAAAATCCTGGAATAATATGCCCTGGGTTGCTCATTCTTACCTTGCACAACCTTGTCGGCGGCTGGATACCCGCCAGGTCCCATGCAAGGTGAACACTCTTTCATAAGAGCAGCACATAACAGGCGGTAATCCTTTCTTGTGGCATCAGGTTGACGCTCTATGAAGGAAAACACCGTCCTGGATGAAGTGAGCCTGATCAAACCTACTTTATCCTCAACTGTAGCGTTGGGATAGCTTCTTAATTGGAAGTCAAGGTTGTCCAGATAGGCCTTAGAGTCAGTTGAACCCAACGGCCCTGGCTCAAAGCGGTTGACATATTTTACAATTTTGTGCAAATCTGAAATCGGGAGCAAAGGCTGTATTATCGATATCGTAGGAACCAAAATGGCACGTAGAGGTGTGTTGCTAGACACATGTGGAGGTGACGGAATGGGATTAAGAGCAGGAGGTGCAGCAAAATCCTTCTGAGGTGGTGGTGGGTGACCTGGACTCTGACCTTGTTCGTCTTTGAGTTCCAGCCAACCTCGCCCCACGTCAGAAGTCTCATTTGTTGCTATGGCTAGTTTCGCCTCACAGGCTTAAGCGTTCTCGTGATGTATGACATTCACTCTGCAAACACACGCCTTGTTGTACTAACGCCGCCTTTTCCAATCTGCATTCGTTCAGAGCTTTGGATGTGAGCTGCAACTGTTGTTGTAGCGCATCGTTGTCTGAACACAATGTTTGGTACTTAACCTCTCTTTCCCTCATCTTCTCCTCATATGAGTGAGCTTGTAACGACAGCTGAGCTTGTGAGAGCTCCCTCTCACGTTGTAACTCATTCGCCCAGGTCTCCTGATCAAATTTAGACTGTGCCATGAGTTTGAGGTACTCCTCTGTTTCGCTGTTTAACCTTATTTCAAGGTCATCAGCTCTGTTCGCCTCCCTAAAAAATGTTGCCTTCAACAAGAGTGCTAACTTAGCCAACTGGTCAAAGCTTGACTTTGTTCTGGCTGTAGAGGTCACACTCTCTGCAATATCCTTCAGCTCGTCCAATAACTCTTTTGAGTTCATGCAGTCCACCTGTTCACCATATGGATTTAAGGATTCTGTGAGCAGCGTCAACGCTTTCTCCAACCAGTCCTTCATCTCACAAGGATCAATATTCTTTTCTGTCACATCTGCCATGGTTATTCACTGTTCAGCACATATCTGGTGACACAGTTTGCCACCTTTAGAGTGTTTAACAGGTAAATATTTGTATTCAAGTGAGCAGTGAGTTTCACACACTATTTTAGCTCCGGGTCCACTCAACAGTACTGTTATAAGCCAACTTCTTCAAATGAATGGGCACCTAATTGTAGGCTTTACCCCAATGCATGAATATTCTAAGTAAATGCCTCCTTCTGGCAGTGTTACTTAATGAGCTTAAATCTAACAGATACAAGAACCAGGCTTTTTCCAGTGTTCAGTTACCCTAAAGCACTTAAAATTAAATAAACCTGCAATTTTTCTAAAAGTCTCACAGCAACTTTAGTTCTCAAATGCTTTTTAAGCAGTTCTATATACCAGAAATTCGCTATTTAAAACAGTCACTCATAAACCAGGCTGGATGAACAAAAAGAAAAAAAAAATGAAAGGAAATGAGCAGTCTCCCTTCAGGAAAACTGTTATACTCCTCTTTCAACAGCAGATGGTGGTGTAAGCTTATTTATACCAGCAGAAGTCTATGACAACTTCCTGTGGATCGTTCTGTTGACATTCGGTCGTTAGCTGTTAGCTGGACGTAGCACACGGTCGAACACGGTCAAATCAGCACTTTCTGAACGGATTTAAAGCTTAAATGTGGCGTTGTTTTAACAAGCACGTCCATTTGCATGAAAACGAGTTTTGGGAACAGTGGCAGGCTTCATTTAGCGATTTTAAACACAGAGGAGGCTTCGGTTGAACCGAGATTCATTTCCGGGGTCACGTGACTTTATAGACACGTGAGCAACGGGGTGGGCTTTACAATCTGACATCAGAGGGAGTGAACGCAGACACGTCACCCATTTCTCAGCGAATCAGAGCGACCCAAACAGCGGTTTTCAACCAATCACAGCTCGTGATTCCAGCTAGCATTGTTAGCAGTTAGCCTGAAAAGTCCGGTCAACAATCGCCCATTAAACCTCCAAAATGCACAATTTACTGTTGAAAATGTAACGGATCAGCATTTAACAGTGGTCTGAGACGGCGCTCAGCTTTAAAACAGCGTTTTATCTATTTAAAACACCACTCGTTCAACGAGTCCAGTGAGCAGAACCGGGTCAGACAGAACCCCCTTCTCTGCTACCGTTTAAACAGAATAAAGCGTTTTTTCCACAGCATGTCAGCATTAGTTACACAACAGATGTACAATTTTCAGCTTTAAAATGAACACATTGACATTACTTTCAGCTCTCTGAACACCACAAGCCTGAATCATGCCTGTACCAAGCACAAAACTCGGACCTTTTCATGCCAACACTCAGCGTCCATCTCAATAACACAGACTCCGTCACATATAATTCACACTTCTTTAAACATTCGTACAGCCACAAAATGTCCAAAGAGGAGGATAGGTCCTAAATTATCTCTTTTAGAGACCATGCGGGTCACGAGAAGCTCTTCAGAGACCGTACGGGCCACCAGATGTAGTGTGCTAAAACGGCTAGGTTAGCTTCAGCTACACTACAATTTTATTTAAATAACGGGTTCTCTCTTTTTCGAGCTACTTGACAGATATGTGACAGAGGTACTGTGCGTAGATGTTTTAATCAGTGACATGAGACGTTAATTTTCTTTGACCCATCAAAATAAATGTGGTCATTTATTAACAGAATCAAAATTTAACATCTGATCTGCTTCTGATTAATAAAACTTGGCACGTTTTACTTAATAAAAACAAAAGACATTTCTGAAGGCATCTGGATTAATTACTGGCAGGATAGAAGAGTTTTAAGATGGGAAATGAAGAAGTTTAAATGGAGAGAAAAGATGGATGAGGGAAAGTGTGTTGACTAGGAATGGCACCCTTCATCCGACCCCAGCTCAGCCCGGTACACTCGGTAGTGAAGCGACTCCTTACCTTTGCAGAAGATAGGTCAGCTCCGGTACGGAGTTCCATTTCAACGCTACCTTTCAGCATCTCCTCAGGATGGCTGAGAATCGTCCGAAGTAGTGACGGTACTCCGTTCAACAAACACGCTCACCTCCCGGGCTTACACACAGCAAGCTGCGAGTCTGTCAGAGGTTCCACTCAGATGTAAAAGACTCCATAGTCCCAACTCGACTCAGAAGACTGAGTCTGAGAAAAACTCAGAAGAGACTCAGAAGAACTCAAAAGACTCAGAGGAACTCCAGAAGAACTAACGGGACTACAGTTCCAGGAAGTGTCGACTTTTAAAAAAGAGTTCTGCTTCCGGTCACTTTTAGTAAGTCCTGATTGATTGAAGGAACCAACAGGGGTGTGGTTCTAGTGACGTCAAAGGGTTTTTACAAGTCGAGAAAACAGCAGAAATGTTTAGGAACAGACAGAGAAATGTTTTGAGGAAGTGAGAAACACCGCAGGTGCCAGTTCTCTTGTTTACTGTCTGAGAGCTTTAAAAACACGACAGCCTGTTCTAACAACTGGTTTCTTGACTGTCTCCGACTTTTGACCGACATCACTCTCTCATTTCAGACAGAAGATCAAAAAATGCATAATTACTTTGTAAAATAGACATTGAACTTGATTTCTAATTTGAATGAGGATTAAAAAAATCATTAATACTGTTTCACAGTTGATTTAAAATGAGTGGTTCACTTCAACATTTAAAAATGGTATGAACTAAACACACTTTTGATTATCAAGATATTGTAAAATAGTAATGATAATATAAAAAAGAGAGTGTTCTTTCAATTGATTAGTTCAGGATACAATTAGAAAGTCTCTGGATGAGCTAATTTGTATTTCTGGGTTCAAATCAATGAAATAACAGTTCCTGTCCCATGAAGGTCTTCAGAGGCAGGTTTTGATCGGAGGCCTAGTTCACTACAGAGTGGTGAAGGCTGCACAGAAGACTGTTGGAGTCAGTCTCCCCACCATCACAGACATCTACACCTCCAAATGCAGGAAGAGGGCCACTTGCATAATGAAGGACCCCACTCACCCATCACACACACTTTTTGCCCCGCTCCCCTCAGGAAGGAGGTTGAGGAGCATTAAGTGTAGAACCACTAAACTGAGGAACAGCTTCTACCCTGAGACTGTTAGACTCAAGAATCTCTAACCAGAGTAATCACTGTGAAAAATCACATCATGTTGCTGCTGATCTGTTCATGTTGATTTGTTCATGCGTGCTTATCTGCTCACACAGACTCATGTTCGGGCTGCTGTTCGACATAATGTTTTTATACTATTAGTGCTTAATGTATTATTTAGCTGATGTTTTTCTTAGTTCATATCTTAGATCTTATTACAGTTTTTCTTTTACATTTTATTGTTGGATGTAACTGGGCCCCTGCGTACATAATCTCGTTCCACCACATGTACCACATGGAGTGTGTATTACAAATACATCTCTCTGACTGAATAATTTAAATTTTAGGACTTAGTAATATTTCCTCAAAATCCTGTTCTGTCTGACCATTTTTAATAACCTTTGAGTTTACATTAACTGACTGCACAACCACTGAGAATAAATTTCATCTTAGCAAGTGCTTATCAGAAAACACTGTAACCAAATTTAAACAATCTCTTCCATCAATGTTTTCCTCTGTCTTGCAGAGTAATGCATCAGAGAACTGTGACTTAGATCATCTTAGTGATAATTTTACAACTTCTTTTGATAAAATTGCTCCCCTGAAAAAGAAAATAATCAATCAGAGGAAACTGGCTCCTTGGTTCAATTCTGAGTTACGTACTTTAACACAGACATCTAGAAAGCTAGAAAGAAAATGGCATGTATCAGTTAATAAAACTAGGTGTGTGTTGAGTTCAGCATACTTCTCAAGCACCATAGTGAGGCCAGACAGGCTCCGAGGGTGCAGGCACAGCCGTTGGGACATTAGATTCTTGTGAAAGGTGTTGAGTGTGCTGTAGTGCTCAGCGATGGGCTGGACCAGTCCCAGCCTCTCCATGTGGACCACCTGAGTTCCTCCCAGAAGGTGACTGATTCTTTCCTTCAGCCAGTTCGTCTGCTGCTGGAGGCTGTGGTAGCCAGGCAGCTGCTCAAACAGCTGGAGATACAGGAAGAGGACAAATCAGAGACCAGACTGAAGGAAAATCTGGAGAAGAAGACAAGAGCGGCTGCGTTACTTTAGCCCACTGGTGATGAACATCCATATTTCCCAGAAGTACGTGTCCAGAGGCGTTCATTCCCGACTGGTCAGCAAACACAACAGTGTGTCCTGACAGGACACAAGGCAGGTTTAAATGGGTTTCTTCAAACCTGTTTTATGTGATATCTTGTGAGATGTGTTAGTGCTTGGAGCATGGGTTGGGAATGACTGTCAGCTACTTCCACACCAAATGTCAGCTCATTCTCTATGAATTGGACTCAGTTAAAGTCATTTTTGACTTGTTTAAGGTAGACTGGGGTGGCCATCTTGAATTAGGTTGAGTCTAGATGTTAATGAGTTGCTGACTTAGATTCAATTTTTACTGTCATAGCTTCTATACAATCTGTTCAGATATTTTGCTAACAGACAGTTACTTGATTAATTTAACAGTTAATGTTGAAGTTTAAAACAAAGATGTTGGGTCATGTGTTGTTTTTGACGCATGTGTTGGGGATGAATGAAGCTCAACTACTTCAACACCAAATCTTAGCGAATTTAGTAAAATTGTCTGAGGTACATTCATTTTTGTGTTTTCTATGATCAGTTGGCTGTGATGATCATCTCGAAATGGATTGACTCCAAAGGATTATCTGTGCTAAATGCAAATCCATGTATTGGAAAAAAACCTCTCCTGGGGTTCATGTGATATTTTTCTAACAGACTGACAAAGTTGACTCCAGGAAGCAGATGGCGATAAAGATCGTCTCAGATTAATTAGTTCTAATAAATGGGGTAAAATTCAACATGCCATTAAAATACTAACTGAATAAACCCAAGCTGTACATGATTCACCACTTCAGTTAGCAAACTGCTAATGTGACATAACAAAATGATGATGATGCACTTTGGTACTTCTGTACCAAAGAGCAAGAGTTTTCTAACTCCGCATCTAAAAAAAACTCCAGTTAGCCTTAACATTTCTCCATTAACAAATGTTTCCCAATACAACAAATGTTTTGACTCAATGCGTTCCTGAATGAAGACAAATTACTGGATAAAATTAATTCCAAAACAAAACAAAAACTGGATTGCATAATAGAAACATTATGCAAACTGTGATACAAGCACCAAGTTTGGTGTGATTTTCTTTGAGGTATTTGTCAAATCTGCATAATGGCATTTGAAAATCCAAGAAGACTTGACTTTTTTCAAGACGGCTGCCAAAATGAGCTTATTTCTGCACAGTAATTATATGGTAATGCAATTTCTTTATCAAGTTAAATAATCTTTGGGTCAATTTATGTTTTCTTCTGTCAGTAGATTGTACTATGCAAGTAACACATACAAATAAATCCCCGCGACCCAGAAATGAAGAAGCAGACAAAGATAATGGATGAATGAATAACAATAATAATAAAGTAACCATCTTTGGATTTTAGATGGCCAATCTAGAATTGTTCAGAAGACTCTCGGAACCAACCATGACAAATTTGGTGCTTGTATCACGTTAGCGGCTCCACTATTACAGCATGGTGAAAAGAAGACCTGCAGCTCTGACACAGACTGAGCTTACAGGTTTGGATGACTCTAAATGCACTTAGAACCAGTACCTTGCAGGTTGATGAGGGCTTCTGGGTTCTGGTAGGACAATCGGCTGAGACTCTGAAGCTGGCAGCATTTATGAGTCACGCTCCAGCTGCGCTGCCACCTGAACCACACAAACACCACCACAGGCCTGTCATTTCAATACCAGTTCAAACTCAGCTGTGACCCCTGAAAACCAAATTCTTCACCTTTAATGAAAACTTAATGAGAAAACAGTTACAGGTCAGTTGTATGAACATCTGAGCAGAAATAATCTGTTTGAAGAGTTTCAGTCAGGCATGAGCATGGACTTTGTTAGTTTCAGTCAGGGTTTAGAGCTCACCATAGCACTGAATCTGCAATGGTGAAAGTTACTAATGATATTCTCATGGCCTGTGACAACAGATAGGTGTCTACACTGGTCATGTTAGACCTCAGTGCTGCAACTGATACAGTTGATCACAATATTCTACTAAAGAGACTTGAATATGATGTTGTAACTAGAAAGTTCCTGGAGATACTTTGACGGGGACTGCCAGGCTGCTGCCGATTTAAATTCTTGATTTAATATTAAAAGTGTTTGGGTTTGCTATCAGCTACCATTATACCAAATTTCAGCTGAATAGCTCTAAAAATGGCCGAGTTATGGTATTTTTTCTCTTTTAGCTAAGGCGGCCATCTTGGATATTTTATTTGGATTCCGTATGTGATAGAGCACATTTTCAGCTACAACCTCACCAAATTTCAGCTCTCTATGTGTAAAAATGGCTGAGTTAAAGCCATTTAAAAGTACTGATGTACTTGAGCATGCATCAGGATATTTAAAAGTAGCATTGTTGGCCATCTTGGATTTTTGATTTTGATACAGCATCTGATAGGAAACATTCTCAGCTATCACCACATTTTTGATGTTGTCGGTACCGGGGCTTGAGCCGGTGATCTTCCGATCACAAGCCCACCTTCTCTAACTTCTGCGCCACCCCTCCCCCTGTATCTCTTAAAATGGCAGAGTTATCATATTTACCTCTTTTAGCTAAGGCGGCAATCTTGGCTATTTGATTTTCATTAGGAATGTATTACAACTCGCTCTCAGCTACAATCATACTTAATTTCAGCTCAATATGTCAAAGAATGACCGAGTTATAGTCAATTTTGTTTGCTGAGGTAGCTATGGCAGCCATCTTGAATCAATAAGGCTCCAAATGTTAATCAGCTCTAGAGATATGTCTGATGATTACTTTCTGCAAGTTTCAAACAAATCCAACAACGAGTTTTTGTTTTGTAGCTCAATATCTCAAATGACTATTATAGTCAATTTTGTGTTTGCTGAGGTAGCTATGGCAGCCATCTTGAATCAAAATGGCTCCAAACGTTAAAAAGCTCTAGAGATCTGACTGATGATTACTTTCTACGAGTTTCAAACAAATCCAACAAGGAGTTTCTGTTTTGTAGCTCAATAACTCAAAGAATGACTGAGTTATAGTCAATTTTATGTATGCTGAGTTAACTATGGCAGCCATCTTGAATCAAAATGGCTCCAAACGTTAATAAGCTCTAGAGACACATCTGATGATTACTTTCTGCGAGTTTCAAACAAATCCAACAACAAGTTTCTGTTTTGTAGCTCAAGATCTCAAAGAATGACTGTTATAGTCAATGTTGAACCAAAATGGCGCCCAACGATATTCAATTTCTTTGAAAAGTTGTCTCCCATTCATTTCCTATTGGAAATTTGGCATTTTTGTTAGCAAAAGTACATTGCCATGGTGACTCCAATTGCCAATAAAAGTAATAGCACACATCCCGGAGCCGGGCTGGTCGTTTTGATATAACTTTTGTGGGGGTCCACGTTGTGGTTCGGGCCGCATTAACGGAGATGGAATAATAATAAATAAAGAAACCCTTATTGGGTGTAGAATAATAGGTGGCTTCCATGCACTTGCATGGGAGGCGCATTGCAATGGCAGCCACCAATTACAAGAATGGCTCTAAAATGGTTCATATCTATCTGATAGATTCTAATTTGTAAATGTAAATAATGAATCTTCTTCATGCACCAAAGTTAGTCATGGAGTTCCTCAGGGTCCAGTGCTTGGACCAGCACTCTACTTTATATATGATTCAGTAAGGTAAAGTTATTAGACAGCATGAAATAATTTTTTATTGTTTTGCTGAAGACAATAAATAGTTTATTTACCCAGGCTTTAAAACAAATGTTCTGATTTTGTCTTGAACATCTTAGATGTAACTTAACGTAACTTAACGTCAGCTTTGAGGCTGCCAATATATCCACCTGATCAGCACACCTTGTCAGCTGAAATCTTTACTCCCCGCAAACTGGTACATTCAATTCGACTTTCATTTCAAGCTTAAAAAACCTTGTTCTTTTTGATCTGAACATGTCTTTTTTTTAAATAACCTTACTTCTAACAAACTCTTAACAGCCAAGCTCCATCTTAAGTTAAAGAACTTGTTGTTCCATAAGAGATTCACTGATGCCTGACGGGGCTCTCGATTGTCAGACAGAACAAAAGAAACCTTCGGAACAAAGTTCTGATTAATAATCCACCACAAACTGTTTTTCTCTATACAAACACATTTTCAGTTTAAGAAGAACAAATAAAGAGTGTGTACCGGATATCTGCCAAATGAAAGGTTTTACACAGTTCCTTCTTCAACCGGTTCAGTTCTTCTCTTCTTGGAAGGCTGGCGCTGTGCTTCTTTGTGGCTTCAGGCTCGTTGTTTTTCAGCCAGAGACTGTAAAATTTGAAAAACACATGACACCACTCTAAGCTGAACAAGGTAGAAAAACATCTTCACAGGATTTCTGGTTCAGGTCAGTATTATAAAATTTACACCAACATGTCTTTAAACAGAAAAGCTCACATTTTATAGTTAATTTTAGTTACCCTTCCATCCATGAATGGATGGATGGATTTGCAGAGGAAAATCAGAGGAAGCTGGCATGTACTTCAAAACAGGAATCTCAAAAGATGGAAAGAAAATGGCGCTCCAATAACATTGAAGAATTTTATTTAACGGAGTGATAACCTGCTAACATATGACAACTGTCTATTGTTGTTGCTAATGTCCATTGTTGTCATCATTCTTTGTTGAAATCAGGTCTCTCTTGTAAATGAGTCCTCGAGGCTCAGTGGGATTTACCTGTCTTAATAAAGGTTGAATGAATATAAGAAAGCCCTCCGTAAAGCTAGAACTGTATTTGTCTTTAATAGCTGAGAATAAAAATAACCCTAGATTTCTGTTCAGTACTATAGCTTGACTAATGAAAAGTCATTTCTCTGTTGATTCATGTATCCCTACAACTATAAGCAGTGGTGACTTTACGAGAGTCTTTATAAATAAAATTATTTCAATATTAGAGAATAATCACACCATCCTTCCTACTATCGCCTCTGATTCCCTGTCAGATGATGCAGCTTTAGAAATGTTACTAGAACCTGATTCATGTTTGGACCGTATTGTCAGGATCAGGTGGACAGGAACGAACCCAGTAGTGCAGACAGGACTCAACTCGGCAGATTACAAAAATAAGTATTTTAATGATGAATAAAAAAGTAACAAAACAATAAGCTGACGTGGCAGCACACTTACTTAAACTAGACGACTCAGGAGGGATACTCAGACAAGACTCAGGAAGCTCAGGAAAACTCACGAGACACAGGAGAACACTGAAGACCCAAACGAATACGACCCGACAAAGGAACAACACAGAACAGGAGGCTTATATACAAGGACGAGACAAGACGTGATTACAACAGGTGTGACGAGACAAAGGTGGCAACAATTAAACTGACGAGGAAACACTAGGGAAACACAGACACAAACAGAAACAGTAAATGGTACCATCCTTACACGTATTTGTCCTACTGAGCACTTTGAATTGTCAAAAATAATAGCTTCATCCAAACCATCCACATCACATGTCTGCTAGATCTCATCCCAACCAGACTGTTTAAAGAGGTATTTTCCCTAATTAATATCCACATTTTGGATCTGCTTACTTTGTCTCTTATGAATGATTATGCACCACAATTCTTGAGTCATGGATTTCCTCAGGGCTCAGTGCTTGGACCAACAGTCTTTATTTTAACTATGCTTCGATTAGGTAAAGTTATTAAACCGCATGGGATAAACTTTCATTGTTATGCTGATGATACACAATTATATTTGTCCATGAAACCCAATGAATCCAATCAGCTACTTAGACTACAAGCATGTTTTAAAGACATTAAACCTGGATGACCCTAAATTTTCTGCTTTTGAACACAGACAAGACTGAGGTTTTAGTTTTTGGACCTGAGCATCTTAGGAACAAATTTTCAAATTTTCCTTTTACTTTCTCTGGATGGCATTAATCTGGCCTCCAGTTCTAATGTAAAAAAACGTTGGTTACGTACTGTAACCCCAGATTCTATGAGTATAGGCGCAGCCCTTTAAGGCTATCGCTAGTGGGTTTATTCCGTTGCGCACAGCGCAGCACTGAAGACTAGACCACGCCCACCTGCTGTGTGGGCCTCACCCCCGGTCCGTATAAATTATGGTAAGACCAGGTAATCGGCTCCCAAATAGCTTTTTTCTTCAGCCATTTAGGAACCAGTGAGGCCTAGAGCTTAAAGGCGCAGCCTATATTCATAGAATCTGTGGTTACAGGATGGATAAGATTAGGAATGAGATCATCAGAGGGTGCACCTGGTGATGAGCTGCTGAGATCACGTGAGAGCTGTGCTGCGTAAGTAACATGGCAGGATACTGCTAAACAAAATGATTCAACTCAGGTAAAACAAGCCAATATATTACAATCAAGCATAAAACATATTGTTAATAATAACCTCTACATATTGTTTCAATAAACCAAACTGGACGAGGAAACCTTGGACAGTCTGGAGAGTTATGTGGACGAGTGTTTTGAAAACATCGTGATGGGTAAACCACAAAAAAAACACAACATCCACGGCCACACCAACTCCTAAATGTACGCGTTCAGAGAGCTCAACTAGCACGTCCACCTCTCCAGAGAAAAGCTTTACTGATGTCCTGGGCTCTATAGACAAGAAGCTAACCAGTTTAGATGCCCGTCTGGCCCTGGTGGAGGTTCTCCACAACGAGTTCCAAGCACTGAGGGAGTCTCTGGAGTTCAGCCAAGCTCAGGTGGCGTCGCTCACTGCTGAGAACCAAACTCTGAGGGGTTACGTCAAAGAACTCACCGAGAAGATGACGCAGCTGTCTGGAGAAAACAGGAAAATGAAGGAGTCCATCCTGGACATTCAAGCTCGGAGCATGCGGGACAATCTTGTCTTCTCAGAGATCCCAGAATGAGCAGAGGAGGACGCTGAAGTTACGATCCGTGAGTTTATCCAACATCAGCTGAAACTCCCAAGTGAGACGGTAAAAAACATCACTTTCCTTTGCGTTCACCGGCTCGGAGGTAAGAAGCCCGATAACAAGCGACCTCGGCCAATTATAGCTAAATTTGAACACTATAAACAAAAAGAGCAGGTCAGAGGTCGGGGCAGAGAGCTGTGTGGGACGGACTTCAGTGTGAACGATCAATTTCCTAAAGAGATCCTCGATCGGCGGAGAGTTTTGTTTCCAATCAGGAAGAAATACATGTCTGAGGGCGTCAGAGCTACGGTGGCTGTAGATAAACTTTATATTAATGGTCAGTTGTTCAGGGAACGGGACGTCACTCCATGGCTTTATTAAAAGGAACAACAGGTTAGTCTGAAGCAGGGCTGTTCAACTGACGGCCCGCGGGCCAAATCAGGCCCAAGGTGAGCTAAGTTCGGTCCACCGATGGGTTCACTCTTAAAACGAAACTAGAGTTTTAACTATAAAACAAAGTAACTTAATGATAAGAACTAGTGGATATCTGACCCCTGAGCGCATGGCTTTCAGTAACTGTGGCCCCCTGGGCGGTTTAGTCGAGCAGTCCTGGTTTAACGCTTGTAACACTGGAGGTAAATTAACTGGCATTTGTAAATAAAGTGTAAAGCACAGCTCGGTAAGGTGTCCGTACTGGTGGTGGTGAACGGTGTCAAAGCTATTCTTTTTTTGTTTGTTTGTTTTTTTCCTATCTTTTCCTTTTTATTTTTTTATTTTTACTATTTTCTCTCTTACGTTTATCTGTTACCACATCACTTCATCAGTCTTTTTCTCTTCTTTACCACCCAACAAACATTTACACACAAGCACACCAAAACACACACACGCGCACACACACTCGCACACACACCAGAGAACTTTATATCTTTCAACTTCTCTCACACCCAGCTTCTACTCAATATTCTTGTATCTTTCCACTTCAAACATCACTGTGTGTTTCCAAACATCTAAACAGGCAATCTCAAGCAATAACTGTGATTTTAGTTGGATCTGTCTGTCTCTATGGTGACATGTGCTGGTCAACTTTAGCTACTCACGCACAACTATGGGAACAGTTGTTTTTTTACAAGAGACTCATAAATCTACTACAACTGGAGATGATCTTAAATCACCTGACTTTCCTGATGTGTTTTGTGCCTGCTATAACTCAAGACAAAAGGGAGTAGCAATATTAATACACAAAAATGTTAATTTTACAGTACTAGACACAGTTACAGACCCAGAGGGTAGATATTTAATAATAAAACTTTGTATAAATAACTACAAGCTGTGTATTGTCAGCATATATGCCCCAAATGTTGATGACACCTCTTTTTTTCATGATTTTTTTCTCAGCATTGTCTGATCACTTGGATTGCTCACTTATACTTGGAGGTGACCTCAACTTTGGTCTAAAGGAAGAATTAGACAGATGTAGTAGAGTAGGAACTCAGCGCAGTTGGCATTCCATAAATATAGTTAAACAGTATGTGAGTGATTATGGACTTTGAGATGCATGGCGATCTCGTCACCCGAACCGTAGGGAGTATTCTTTCTTCTCACCTGTCCATCACTCTTACTCTCGTCTGGATTATTTTTTAGTCAGCAGCTCATTGTTGATGAACATCTCGGACACTGAGATACACCCTATAGCTGTCAGTGATCATGCTCCTGTCTCTTTAACTCTAGTAAACAGAAAAGAAATCCCAAAAGGTATAAACTGGAGATTTAATATATCATTGCTTGAAGATGAAGATTTTATCAAATATTTTACAGAAGAGTGGGCTTCATATCTGGAGTATAATAACTTGCCTGGAACATCAGCATCTGTTCTCTGGGAGGCAGGGAAAGCAGTGATGAGAGGTAAAATAATCTCATTCTCATCACATAAAAAGAAAAAAGAAAATAAACATATTCAGGAATTAGAAGAAACCATTAAATTGTTAGAAGCCACCCAAGATGAAGACATGTTGGAGAAAATGCGTAAAGCAAAATTAGAATTAAATTAACTTATTAACAAAAAAAACCTCAATTCTTAATACAAAGACTCAGAAAAGAAAATTTTGAGCAGAACAATAAATCAGGTAGCTTTCTAGCAAAACAGCTTAAAATAAATAAGGAAAAAACAACTATTCATGGTGTTAAAGACTTGACTGGGAATACAGTTTATGATCCTGAAAGAATAAACAGCATTTTCAGAGATTTTTATAAAGCTTTATACTCACCCCAGATAAACCCATCAGATAATGAAATTGATCAATTTCTGGATAAAATTACACTTCCTAAATTATCAGATAATCAATCAATGGAGCTGGACTCACCACTGACACCAGTGGAACTCCAGGAAGAACCCCAAAAGCATGTCCAATAAA